ATCACTGGGCACATGGAGACCCTGGTGTACTGAATGCAAACGAGCCAGCACTAGAGCTCCCTCCACAGGACTGGGACCAGTGGTGCTTTCCCATCAGCCAAACAATGTCATTTACACATTTAGGACATAGTATTAATTGCACATTTGTTTTGGTTTGTAGTTGTATATGAGAGTTCTAAACAAAAGGAGCGTATGCCTAATTTTATATTTACACGTATTTAAGTAGAATTTTTAAAAACTAGGTCAACACTGGGTGTACAAGTAATTTTTTTTCTTTAAAATGGGTGTTATTTGTACTTGACTCAAGATTAAGGATCCATTATTCATTGGGACACACAGACCCTGCAAAACTTACAAATCCATGAGAAGGTTTGGTAGTGAAGGCTTAAATTCCTCTCGCAAGTGAAATGTCATTCAGTATTGCCAATGGCTGTATAAGTTCTAAGACGCCACCTCTACAAAATTATGGATTTCATTCTGTAGGTAAAAACCCTTTTCAAATCCATGTCAGCAGTCCTAAAAAGAGTGTGAATGGGGCAGCTAAATAACAAAAAATCTGAGGTATGAACTCAACAAGAAAAATAAGAGGAAAAAAATGTGTCTTTTATCGATTATATAATTGGCAAAGAAAAAAGCTATTCCTTTTGTTTTCCTATTATTCTTTATATTTACTGAAGTCATAATGTGATAATGTGCTATGGAAGAGCAATCACATTTATTTGCTTATTTAGACATTTTACTCCCATTTCTTCAACAAATCCTTCATTATGAAATACCAACTATATGAATTATACAGTGATCTATTACTTTTTAATTGTGTATTAGAAAAATGGTTTATAATAGTTACAATTACTTGCGTACACTGTGCATTTTTACTTGACATATTTTTGAATATGCTTTCCATTTCTTTCATTACTATACAATGATCCCTCATAATATCTCAATTTGATTAGCTTAGACAAATGGACTATTTCTATTATTTTAGAATACATAGATTTCCTATATAAATTTATTTGCATAAATAGCTTTATAAAAACAATGGTTTCTTTAGATGCACATATGTGAGGAATTGTATGCACTCCCAAAAGGAGGCTGCCAGTTTAAGGATATGATCGGTTTTACAGCACCTTTTCTCTTTTGTTCACTGTTCGCTGTGGATCTTTACAAAGATTTTGTTTTCTAAAATCAAGAATGGATGCTTAAATTTGTCAACTGCCTGTCTGGTATCTATTGATAAGAGCATAAGTCTATTTTTCTTTACTGCTTTCTTAATTAACATGGCATATTTGTATTTCGTTGTCCTTATGTTAAACTAAAATAAACCTAATTCAGTCAGTCACAGTGAATAACTAATTCTCTGGGTATGTTGTTCTCTAACTGTTCCCTTTGTATTTAGGAATTCTCCATCGATGTTGACAAGTGAGATTGGCCCATGTTATCAGACTTTACATTAAGTCCATATTAGTCTTAAAGGATACAGTTGACTATTATACCATTTGTTCTATTTGTATAATATAGAAATGGAGTTCATTAAAGTTTCATTTATTTGTCAGATGATTCCTTTGATTCTAGCTGCTTTTTGGGGGGCAGGGTATTTTTTTCCTCTTTTATCACATTAATTATGCCAATAGAATATTGATTTTGTTAATCTTTTGAAAAGACCAAATCTTGATATTTTTATGGTTAGGCTTTTTCATTTAAAAATTAATTTTCATGACAATCTTTATTATTTAATTTGTTGTTCTTTTTTGGTTTGTTACTTTGCTTTTTCTAGATAATTACAGACATCTACTTTTAAAAATTTTAGTACTCAGGGGAATACAATTTCTTAAAATGGATATACTGCACATATGGTGTTTACATTATTTAATTATAGCTTTTTATGATATCCTATATGTTTTATGATATTCTGTGTATTTTTTCCCTAATTCAGTTGCTACTTAGGGTTTTTAGTTTGCCACTAATGCTATATTCTTAATGACATATTTATTTATTTAAATAGGCAGTACATGCACATGGTAAGAAATTCAAATTCAAGGGGAGGAGTAAGTCTCCCTTACACCCTGCTCCAAGTCCTCCAAGGCCGCTCCTTAGAGGCAACCACTGTTACCAGCTTCTTGAATAACCTTCCAGAGATAGTTCACATGTATGTGTGTGCGCACGCGTGTAGAAAAAGGAAAAATGCACCTTTTCTTCTACACGAATAAGATCATGCTCGCTTCTGCACCTTACATATAAAACTTTTGTTAAGAGGATTAATCACAATTTTGAAACAGCTTAGTACTTTTCAATTATGCATTTTTATTTCTAATTTTATTTCATTATGATCTATGCCAGTGGTTTTATGAAACTTTCTGAATTTACTAGCAGCTACATGTGACCGTCAATGATTAATGTTTACAAAAGAGACATAAAACTGTTTAATAAGTATATTTCTCTGACTTTAATATTCTCCAAATTTGTTTATTAGTTAATGCCATTCAAAAGTCTAACATTGTTACTTGGTATGCGTGCTCTTTTATGATGGTGGGAAAAAATTTCCACCAAACTTATGTTGCTATCCATTTCTACTTTTATATATGTATTTTGTTATTTAAGGCATGTAAAGCCGATAGTTTTCTTTCACTATTTATTGTGCCTTTATCACTGCCCTAGTGGATCCCCCAAACATTTTAGTCTAAAAATCTACTTTTCAGCTGTTGAGTGAGAATCAACTGATGTTCACATAGGATAAGCAGACAATAAAAATTAAAAAAAATGAAAATCTACTTTTTTGGATAAAACTTGAAGTTGCAGCCTTTTAATACATATGAAGTAGGGGATATGTGCCTGGCAACTCATATCCCTTTAATTAAGCTTGCTTAAATCATTTGCTTTGAATAAATTAGACTTTATTTCATCTAAGGCTTAAACTCGAAGTGATATGTTTCTATTTATAATTATATTCCAAACATCAATTACTAAGTAGTTTTCTGGCGTCTAAAGAAGAGGGAAGATCCTCAGCACTGGGGCCAGGAAGAGAAAGCAGATTCTGATTTAACGTCCTTGAAACGCAGTGAAATGTGCTCTATAACTTATATTATATAACTGATATTTTAGAGTGGAATGTACTTTGTAAACGATGAGAGCTATGCTAGATTGAGAGAGTATTATGGTATTTCATTTTGTTATACTCTGGGTACCTCGGGTTATTGGCTAGCTTGCAAGAACATGATTTTCATCAAACTATAGTTTAAACATCTCCATAAATCCTTTTAATTCAGCACTTACACTATTTATAAAACCCCCATGACATCATCAGTTCAACAGTTCATGAAATTTGTCACATTTATATAAATATACACATCACATAGGTATTCCAATGCAGGTACATATACATAAATATCTTATCAAAAATATCTTTATATAAAGATTTACTTGTAAATGGACAGGAATTACGAAGTCCCTCGTCCATAAAATCTATTTTAGACTCATAAGCCAGGAAATGGCTTTCTTATATATTGATGGAGCACAAATGGATCACAACTTCATAAATGCTAACTATATAAATCGACAATTGAAAGCCACATAGTTTCTAATATTACTACTGAAATTCACAATGTCAACTCTCAAAGTTGTCCTAAGTAACCATCTTTAATGTAATTCAAAGTTTCTCTAAGTTTAAGGAATATTCACATCTAGCTTTTGAGAAACATGAATATTTTATTCCCTCACTGCAGTAAATAAATTCCCAGCAACTCCCTGAGAGTTTCAAGTTTGTCTACCTCTCATAACAGAAAAAAACAATTCAGGGTTGAAGGAGACTAAGGTTAGTAGAAGAATCAGAGCACTGAATCAGAAAACCTGCCAACAGAAATTTCCAAAATAGACTGTATGAAGGTGGCATATAACCAGTTAACCCACAGATTTTTATACAGTTTCTCACTTCTGCTTCAAGATGCCACAACATTATCCAAACATAGAGCATGAACACGGCACTTTCCAGAGTTTCTGACATCTAGACATCTGATAAGAGTTACTTTTAAATAAAAAGAACCTTTTTTCATTCACCTAGATAATTAGGATCCTGCTGGACTCATGTAAATTTTAGAGCCTATCACTAATTACACTCTCATAATAATACTTCCAATTCATATCTGGGAAATAACCAAGAAATATGAGAACGCTTAAAGGGCTTAGTACTGAAATAAACTCAGATTTCCTATAAAGTAATTCTTCAATAAAGAAGTACAAGAAGTCAATAAAACTAGCACTTTATTCATTGTAATGCTCATCTTGGTCTCTAACGCCAAGGACAGTGCTCTACTAAGCGATACTGTGATTACAAGGGCCTCCTGTTATCTCAAACACCAAAGCCCCTCAAAAAGGGTTCAGACAGGATCGACTTTCCCACCTTACACAGTGGATTATGCTATCGTGAGAAGGAATCAAGTTACCATTGCCATGAGAAGCTGTGATTATCACATCAGTTCCTCTGCAAAACAGTCTGGTTAGTAACCAGGAATAAAAACAATAATAAATGGATTATTTTGATAGTGTTGAGGGAAGAAATAGTGAGATAGCTCTAGGAAGCTATAAAAGACCATACCCTAATGAGGGGTAGGGTTGGGGGGAGGGGTGGAATGATAAAAGGAGGACCCAAGGAACTCAAAACACTTAAATTTCAAATGCCCAGACAAGATTTAGACATGTACAAGTAACTCCCCAAAGTCTTCAAAAAATCCTAACAACTGAATTCACTATTCTTTATTGGACTCGGGGCCCCAGCAATCACTAAGTGCCCTTCAGTATTGGGAATTAAAGTAACTAATGACATTGCTTTATATTGGAATTACTTTATAGATATGAAAACAGGGAGATGAAATTCTCCCATGTATAAGGCTACCCCGGAAGTTAAGTATGACACCCATGACACCCATTCAGAACTTCGCCACATCTCCTCAGAACTAGAAGGATGGGTACTCAATGAGATCAAACAACTATTGAATAATTCTTCTGACCTGCAAAATGAGAACGAAGTAGTCTACAGGTTTGTTTCGCTGGTAGAGGTAGTATTCTGGGGCTTTCTTGTTCTTCTCATCATACTTCAGTTCCTGGATGACATTGGGGTGCTTTAGCAGCCTTAGAAGGATCTTCTCTGACATCTGGGATGGGCTAAATGCTTCTACTTCTATAGATATAAACACAACTTGATATTACACTTCAAATGGATGGAAAAAATTATACTAGTGATTAAGGTGTTTTGATAATACGAATACTTGGAATCAAAGTGATGATACAGTATGGATTAACGAGACTTCCATTTGGTGATCCACTGGGGGCAGATTACCTGGGAGAAATTAGAAAATGCTGAATTTTCGTATTTGTTTAAAATTCTTCCTTTTCAACTTGTCATTGGTTTCAGTTCTCTTAAAAATACCCTAATTTTCTGACTGATACAAATGAAAGTCAACCAGAAGCAGGCTCCTTGACTGCCAGGATGCCCTGCAACAGCCACAATCGTCTGACTGTCCAACAACAGCCAAAGGAAGAAGCAAAGGTCAGGAAGCATCTAGGTGTGGGTTAGTACCAGGTGCACAACGCAGTGTCCCACATCTCATTCTCCCATTCAACTGCCCTGAGAAAGTCTGGGAACAAGGAACACGGAGAGACTCAGAATAAAAGCAAGGCACGTGCACACCATCAACATGCACTCCAACTTGCTAATTAAAAAAAAAAGTTATATTAATCTATATTGACAAAGACATCAACTTTATTAAAATAAAAACCAAAATTACTGATTTAAGGGTGCTATATTAAAACTTTATGGTCTCTCAGAGGCAGAGTAGGATAACATTTAGTTTTAAATTGTGGTTCTTAAATGATGAATATTATCAGAATTAGAGAGAATAAGCAAGTTAAAGATACTGTTTATAGGTTTTTTTCATTTTAAAAATTGTTATGTATGAAAATTATAAATTCTATATTAGCTTCTATGACTTTTTTGTAATAAAATAAGATAGTATGTTGTAGAAATGTTGGAAAATACAGGAAAAGAGGACGATAAAAATTAACTATATACCAACCACTCGTAACCATTACAAGAAATTGGTGAGCGTTTCTTTCCAGTACCTCGCCTAGGCATGTGTGCCTATGTATATGTGTGTGTACATATAAAAACACAACTAGAATCTTCCTGTACAATTTTACATCCTGTTTTTCCTCGCTTTAAATTAAATTACGAGTATTTTCCCATGTCGTAAATATTATATTGTGAGTTTCTCCATTATCTGAAAACATGATCTTAAACAATGCATAACATTCCATCAGGTGGATGCTGTTAGCCTTCTTTTCAAAGTATTTTAAGTATACTGCACGAAGTTGAAAGGCATTGGCTGCCCATCTTGGATAAGACGTCTTCTACAGGTCACTGGGTACTTTCAGGTTTTTTCACACTTCCCCTGGCCAACAGAGCTCACCCTTCACCTAGAGAGCCATTGGGGATGTGAGAAGTGTTAGTCAGTCTCTTAAGTCCATTCAACCTTGACCTCTCTGGAGCAGTCAGTGCCGGCTGGGTTGGTGACTTTAATAATGTGCACACTTGCCTTCTGGAATGGGCCCAAGTTAACAATCTGATTTGAAGAGGCCGTCAAGAAATCCATGTCAAAGGTTTTAGAATTTCTGATTTCTTTAAAACCATAAAAGATAAAGATTTAATTTTGAAAATTTATTTTTTCTTCTTTGCAAATCATAGCACCTGTGTTATCACTGACATCCAACTGTTCTTCCAAGGCAAGCTGAAGAGAGAATTACTCAACTGTCCAACACACAACGAGGTGGTGTTTGGTTCGCACTGTCAGCCTACTCCGCCAGCTGGCTCTCCCATGGACTTAGCTGGAAGCAGACGACCTGGCCTACTGTTCACATGCAGTGTGGCACTAACATTCATCCTTACCTTTCAGACCAATTTTAAGTTACTGGTCCACCCCTGGTAAATTGTCTCAGAGAGTTCATGCCGACACTGAACATAGGAGAGGAGAGAATTTAAAAAGAAAAAAACAAAACAAAAACAAAACAAAAAAACAAAAAACAAAACACAAAAGTGGCATTACTTTTCACCCCATTTCCCAGTCTCCACCCCCAGCCCACCCCAGTCAGTGGTGGGTGAGAAACACGCTCCAGGGTTGGTAGAGATTTCAAACTGTGATAAGCTGCACTTGCCTGTTGCTAGGAAACGGTGCATGGCCAAGAGAAGCTGTGGTGATATTTTAACCTTCATCTCGCTGTCTGTCTGCTTAAAGGCAGAAAAATCTTGCTTCCTCTCACGATGGGCCACTTTCTTTTTTGTTCTGTTATCCGCTGAGGAAAGAAAAAAAGTAAGGAAATGCATTCCAATAGATCAGGGCTCTTTTTGAATGAAAATAACAGTATATACTGGAAAGACTAGACTATCTCTCCAGATTGCCGGCACTCTATGTATAAATACCACACGGAAAGAGGAAGAATCCTCATCAAATCGGTGCCACATAGCTTTAACACAATCAAAGTAAATAACAGGCATCCTGATGAGCAGTAACTATAAATATACTTCTTGAAGATCTTTAGAGTCCTTACAAGGAAGGACATTATTGGGCAGCCCTGGACAAAAATCCTCTGCTCATAGAACCTATATAACCGCACAGCAACAGAGGGTGCAGCCTGCAGTGCACACACAGTCTCCCGCTACTTGATGTCATCACAACACAGTAAACAATTGCTGTGCTACAGAAAGCACAAGGGAAGTGTGTCCCTGCCTTTAAGAGGCTCCTAGCCCATGCTGAAAGAGAAACACACACACGAAATCTCTCAAGAAACAAACAAAACATTTTCATAGAACAATACTTTAATAACATCTGTTAGCTTCATTTCTACCCCAGACCATGAGGTCTTCAAGGTCAAGCAAATATAAAGAAAGTGACCCAGAATAGCGGTCAGCAAACTTCCTCTATAAAGGGCTAGACAGTAAATATTTCAGGCTCTGCAGACCACGTAGACTCTGTTGCAACTACATAATTCTGCTGTTTAGCAAAAGCAGCCATATGTGAATGAATTCGCATGGTTGTGTTCCAATAAAACTTCATCACGGAAGACATAAAATTTGAATTTCATATCATTTTCACATGTCACGAAATAATTATTCTTTTGATTTTTTTTCCAATAACTTAAAAATTCTTAGTTTGTGGGCCATACAAAAGCAGGTGGCAAGCACTTGTGGGCTGTAGTTTGTGAAACCCTGATTTAGAAGCTGTCTAATGCAAAACTTTTTTCAAGTATTTTTCTGGACAAAGTAATGATCAAGAAAAAACTAGGTTAAGGACAAGGCCCCAACCTTGCTCCTTTCCCAAGAATCGTGAGCCTCGGCATTACCATTTCAAGCCTAAGGCAAAACAGATCCCTTACTAGGCTTGTCCTGGGGAGAAGAGGACCACAACTTTTAATTTACTATCTCAAATTCTTCTGAAAATCAGACAGTATAAATCAACACAAAATTTTAAAATAATTTTCTAATGACAAAAGCAGTCATCATCTCTGTACTCTGCTCTAAATCAAGAATATATATGAAACCACAAGTTCAACACTTATTATCAGTTAAGTTATATTAGGCAACACTTCTATATGAGATCAGACTAACCAAGGTTTGAAAGAAGTAAACTGAAGGGCAAACATAAGATCTCATAAATGTCTAAATATCTTTCTTACGATGAGTGCTGCCCCTGGGGAAACACATAAATATACAGAGACACATTTGGTATTAGTCACTGTGAGGAAGGGTGAAAAGAAGGTAAACACACAAATGACAATATTCTCTATTATGAGACCTCTGACTACTCTCTCCAAGTATCAAAACGAGAAAACATATATGAACTGGTGTTTTTTAAGAAAACTATACAGATGTGAGGAAAAAATAAGATATGTTTCAGAAGCAAGTCATTGGCTAAATATAAAATGTATTCTTTTAAGGTACATGGAAGACCTTCTCAATTTTAAAATGAGGGACATTCCCTTCCGGTGGCACTGAATAAAATCACTCTGCTTTGAGTGAGGCAGGCTTTGTCCCGAGCGCCCCTGGCCATTTGAACAGTCCATTCCCCTTGCCAAACAGGACAAACAGAATCCGAATGCTCTTTCTCTATCCCACCTTTGAGACCCCAAATATCTCAGGCCTTGGGCCACCTTCGGCATTATGAAACTCTTGAAAGAGTTATACTTTGCTACGAATGAGGCTGAGAAAGCTTTAAGTTCTGCAGTCCACAATGATCCAGTAGTGGTCCTGCATAGGACAGACAGGCTTCAGGTTCAATGCGCAGTCCAGGATCTAGCCTACCTACTCCTGGGCAAACAGGTGTGGATATTCTGCTTCCTCTGCCCTGATCCAATCCACTCCCCACCCCCTAAAGAAGGCAGAAAAGCAGAGAAAGGGACAAATACACTTTTATTGTGTACCCCACCCTGTCCTGCCTCCTATACCTCACCTCCCCACTGCTGCCCCAGCAAAACTACACTTGCCAACCTCACCTCTACCCTGGCCCACAGGGACAAGAAAATAAACAGCTGCTTTCAATTTAACACCCCGCCCCCTCACTTTTTAAGTACTTGAATTATGGCCTGAAGAACAAATAGAAATTTATCTGAAAACAATTTACCTAATTGTGTAAAATAAAAATTTAGTAAAGAATTCTTTTGCCATATGTAAAATAAATGTAGAAACGAAAAATGGAGTTTGTTGTTCAGGGCAAGTAATGCCCTGATCAATTGTTAGAAGCAGCTGGCTTTTCAAAAAAACACATTGCTATCTGACATTACAGGACCTGCCATGGCTTTTTCCCCTTTGGTAAAGAGACTGAAAACACATGCATAGGTTGTACACAGACTATACATGTAGTCTATGATTAGAAATAGAGGCAGAAAACAACTGGGGAGATGTCGGATGATTCATAGACAACATGACCAAAAAGGCAGAGATCTGGGGAAATTATACTTAGGCAACGTTACTCACTGTATAAGTCTGTTTCATCTAGAATCTCAGATTTGATGATTTCTTCAATCACATCTTCTAAGGTGACAATTCCTAGAACTTCGTAAAATGGATCCCCTTCTCCTTCATTGTTTACTCGCTGTACAATAGCCAGGTGAGATTTACCTTTAAAGAAAACAAAGGTTAAGAGGTTAATTTTCTGATTTTCCGGAATAAAGTCTTAGATATGATTATGGTAAAAACAGCAGCAGACAAAGATACCAGATTCTCAAAGTCTGCATTTCAGCATTCCAAAATGGTGTGGAAAGACCACAAACAAATGGAAAAGCTTCATGAACCATCAAAAGCCAGATCAGTTAAACTGGAAGAGTACCACCTTCTACACACCATACTGCCCCCACATTGCCACTGGCTTCCTAATGGATTTGGTCTTTAGTAATGTAAGCTCTTCCCTCTGTGACTTTTTAGCAACAACTGTTTTACTTTAGGAGAATAACTCTCAAAATGCAGTCAGTGGACCCCTAGGGACGCCCAAGACCCCACAGGAGGTCTGCAAAGTCAAACTGTTTTCACTAGAATGCCAAAATGTTCCTGGCCTTTTCCCTGTGTTGGTATTTGAACCAATAGTGCAAAGAGACCTGAGCACAAATCAAGGTGGTGGAGGCAAAACACTACAGACTCACAGTGAAAGCGGAGGGAGTCCGTTTCTCTTAAGAAAACCCTGGCTGAAGCAGTAAAAGTTATTAATTTCACAAATCTTGACCCCAAGTACCCATCTTTTAATACTATATGTGACAAATGGGAAAGGACATAAAACACTTCTGTTGCATTCTAAAGTATGACAGTGTCTTGAGGAACAGTATTTGTGCAATTGTTTCTAGTCACTTTTTTCACTGAACATCGATTTTACTTGAAAGGATGATTACCAGACAAACCACAGTTACTTAGACTTCGATATTTCACACACATTTTCTTAAAAATGAACAAAACGAGCCACTACATTAAGGAAAACAGCAGCAGCAATTTGCTGCCACGTGTCATGGGGGGCAATGTTCACCTTCACCACTTGGTTAAGGTAGTGTTCCCGGGTTTCTCCACTGCAAAGTTACTTCCAAAGAACAGAGTTAGGGAAAGGGGAAAATGGGCAAGTCACTAAGTCTAGCCACCCCTCAGGGAGGGTGAAGGGTAGGAATTAAACTCCACTTCCTGGAGTGGGTAAGTATCTATATATATTATTCAGAATTCTTCTGTAAGGAAGATTTCAGACCAAAGGATTTTAATATAACTGCACCAAAAATTCACTGGTATAGCTTTAGATTCCACATTTCAACTAACGTTAAAGAAACTACCACTTGCAGAGTTTTGGTGTAGTATCAAAAAAGAATACCTATGATTATCCAAAAAGGCTATTAAAATAGCCCTCCCTTTTCCAAGTAAATATGTGTGTGAGGCCAAATTTTCTTCAAGGACACTTCTTATTTTTTTTGTTTTGGAAAATAGTGACTTTTAATAAAAACATTATTTATGTTAACATGTAATGGATTTATTATTGTCCTTTCAAAATGAATTAATAAGTAAATGTTTTAAATTTCTCAAGTTTAACTTCAAACACAGTAAACGCCAAAAAATGAAACCCACAGGGAAGAATACGTGCTCTAGAGTCAAACGGTCCTGGGTTTGAACTCCAGTATTGCCAGTTAATTAGCCATTACTGGCTGTGTGATCATGAGTAAACTGTAGATCTTTTCTGAGCCTAAGTCTCCTCATCTCCAAAACCAGGCTCATAATAATTGCTGCCCACAGGAGTGTAGTGAATATCAGAGATTATGTTAGTACCTAGAGCAAAGACAGTGCTTGGGATCTATCTACCAGGTGATCAATAAATGGTAACTCATTAATTTTTTAATATTCTCCCTCGACTCGAAGGCACCATCAACTTAATACATGCTTAGTCAGAAAAACCAATACTACATTAAATGTACACTGATTAAAAGACACACTTCATCTTCAGAAAGGTCTTTTAAGATATTAAATGCATCTCTCACATGCATATTGGTGTTCCCAGTTCAAGGCATGTGAGGCATCTGAAATATATCCTTAAATTAAGCCAAATAGATGTAGTCTAGAAATTTCATGATCAGTTAACTTGTATACTGGTTTTTTAAATCACAAGATGGGTTCTTTGGGGGTAGGCTGGTGAGGAGGGTAGAGTCCTTTAAATAAAGTTTACTTAAAACTGAGTTGAGCCAGTTCACTCAGATGCAACCTGCCAATCTAAAATACTCCCTGAAGGCCAGGTCTGATCAAGTTCCCAGCACTTACTCAGAAATTGCCTTTGGTTCTGTAGGTTTGTTGGCCATTCCCTGCTTTGGCTCAGTCCCTGGTACAGACAACAATGTCTGGAAGGCTAGAAGGTTAGATTGTTAGACAATTAGGCATCCTAACAATTTTCATCCTTAGCGTGCTCACGCTCAAAGAATGAAAATATTTTCAGCAAATGAGACTAGGAGGGAAACTTATCAGCAATAGATATAAACACCGCATCGGGTCAAGTCAATGCTAGTCCAGTCAATTCAGTCTAGTCAGTTTCTCACATCTGCTTTCCCAAGGACCCAAACATAAGCAGTTAAAAATTCTTGGTCAATGCTGTCTGTCGAAAGTTAAATTCTTTTGCTATTCCCAGCTTGTGATCATTTAAAAGGAATTTTCCAAAGCAAGGTCTAATATTAGACTCAAAATGAAGTTTCCATTCCACTGAGGCGCTATTCTCACCAAAGTAACTACCGCATAATCAGATTGTCTTGGAGCAATTCGTTTAAATGCAGATGGACATACTTGAAATACCAGCTCGATAGCACCAACAGATCTGACTGGAAAGCACCTTATTCTAGGAGAAATTGTTCATGTGAGTTAGGCTTCCTAGACTGAAAATTTAATTTTCTTTGGGGCTCCCTTTCACACCCTCACCTCCAACACTGAAACTTTTGCATCTTCTCCAGAGCCGCATTCTTTCGGCTTTTGAATCCCTGGTGAGAAGTCCTGTTTTCTGAACCTTCTTGCTGGTAAGCAGTGCGAGCGCACACGTGCGCACACACACACACACACACAAAGACACCCCTCTTCTCTAATCACGCTTTTGGAGACTAGTAACACAACGTGCTTGTCTCCCACTTAACCATCCATTCACTGCGGGGGGTTCAGTCTTCAGCCTCATCAATGGAGCAATCAAAAGGAAAATATAAACAAGTTGTCAATAAAGAAATTTAAAAACTGAGCTCAAATAGCATCCTTCTTAACTTGAGCACTGGAGGGATTAAGTTGGGATTGAAAGCAGAAAAGCAATTTTGGGGAAACTAATGAAAGACTAAACCAAAAGGTAAAAAGATTATGAACGGATGGATTCTTAACTTCCAAAGAGAAGAATGAAAATATAGCAATCAGTACAATATGCAATCACAGGCACTAAATAACATTAAAACTTTTAAATATACATAGATTAAGCAAACTTGATAAACTGTATATAGAAATAATAAAGCAGACAAGTTGCTATCATAGCTGGGGCTTGGAGAGAGCCTTTTTTGGCTAGCTGTAAGAGGTCCTGTAGTAGCCCAGTCACTTTGAACTGTCCTAGGGATGGAGGAAAAAGGGATCGCTAAGAGAATCAAAGCAGGCCTGCGTTCAGTGTGCATGGCTCTATGACTACATCTCCATTCAAATTCAGAATCATAAGCAAGTTCATATGAAATAACCTAGATTACTCATTTTCTATAACTGCTATGTGCTTGAGACAGGGCACTTGCACAGAGGAAATTAGAAAACTATGTCTTCATTGTGAGATGAACTAAATAATTAAAATAATCTATACGCAGTGAAGTTGGGATCAAATTTCTGCCTCTGCCTGCTTCCACCGTTCTCCAAATCAAAGTTTATTTGCATCCTCTCCCTGGATTGGTAAACCAGTCTAGAACAGTAGCATGTTGCCAAATTTGCATCTATTAACCTTACCACATGCTAGGCTCAAATTCTGAATGACAGATACTGTTTGTCTGCTGATGGATTAATCAACTGCATAGTGATCAGGCTGGCAAAGGGTACCTGTAACTGCCCTTTGAAAATATAGACTTATTTGCTATCACACAAGTTTGAGGTCAATGAAGTGAAATGGAACAGCAGATGAACTAATTGAAATAGCTAAGGAAGAAAGCCAAGAGAGTAGATGAGTAGAATGGAATTAGAAACAACTTGACATAACTGTAGTAATAAAAAATGACATACAGTAGTCAGAAAGACTACTGATAACGTGAGCACAAGGCAAAGAGAGTATGTGGTGTCCTAAAATGACATTTAAACAGCAGAAAAAAAACGGACAGAAGATTCAATGATGAGAAACTCAAGCAGAACATTTTATATTCACCATTACTGCTGCGATGCACAACTCCATGGGGCACCATCAGCATAGAGTACGTGGCTTAATGGCCCCTTGAAATTGTGCGGTGCTGTGGCCCCTCATTAACCAAGGGTAGTGCAAATGAAACACTTGATAGGCCTTTGCTTTTAAAGCAGGGGTCCCCAGCCCCCGGGGCTGACCAGTACTGGTCTGTGGCCTGGTGGTAACCGGGTCGCACAGCAAGAGGCGAGCGGCGGGCTATCAAGCCAGCAAAGCTTCATCTGTATTTGCATCTGCTCCCCAGCGCTAGCATCACCGCCTCAGCTCCACCTCAGATCATCAGGCATTAGATTCTCATAGGAGCATCGGTCTCTGGTGCCAAAAGGGACTGTTTTAAAGCATTCCCAGTTTATCTAACAAAAATGATAATAATTCAATAAGTAAGAATATATTGAGTTCCTAAGAGGCAGTTTTATGGAACTAGTGATAAAAGAAGATGCTCAGAATTTAGTAAGTCAGAATTTAGGTCTCACATAACTAAAACAAAATGAGATAGAGGATATGTTTTAATGGCCGTACTTAAGATCTCCAAAGGAAACCAGTTTGCATATTAGTAGTCAAGGAAGTCAAACACTTTAAATAGAATCAGATTTAGTCTGATTAATAAAAAGTAAACAAACTGATCTGGTGAAATAATGTATATGAACATAATTTATAATCTATAAAATACAATGCTATGTAATGTGAATGAAAAAGGAGCCATATACTAAACCTGACA